AGGCCACAGACGGTAGTACTGCTTGACTTTGCCGGCAGCAACTGTGGCTGCAGGGTCCTCGGGTCCCAGTGGTGCATCCTGGAGCTCCGGGCTCAGGTCTCCATCCTGCTGCTCCAGCAGCTCGGGGTCCATCGTCAGCAAACAGTTCAGACGGATCTGAGGGAGGGAGATCTGTCTCACGGTCACTGAAACTTATTCATGCCACATGTCTTACAAAAAAATTTTTTTTTTTAAATATTTTATACAAACATGATTCTGATTAAGATCAAAAAAGGAGACGTGAAAATATAATGATGCAAAAACAAACATAAAAAGAACAAGCATAATTTTTTTTTCTTGTAACATACAATTTGATTTTGGCTGAATAAAGAATGGACCACCGCCACCCCACCCACTCCCAGCCATCTGGGTTGTCTTTGTAAAAATGGATAAAAAGCCAGAACCAGTTGATCGACAACATCTTTCTTGCTTATACAGGAAACACATATCAGATAAGAACACAGGTGCAAAACTGTAAAGGGTTTTGAAATCCAATAAAGAACTTTGAAAACTGGTTCAGGTAGCTCATGGAGTGATTTTAAAACAGGAGATTTGTTTTTGGTCTCTGGCAACAAGAAAACCAAATAACAGAGAGAGAGAGGAACAACAACAACAACAACAACAACAACAACTGACACAACAAGCAAACTAATCAAATTAACAATGGAACTTAATAAACACAGCAGAATGCCAAAAATAATGCGCAGGTATATGCAAACAGACTGTTGGTTACTGTTTTTGCACATACACACACACACACACACGATAAAACATGAAACTCAAACTGGTCATCACAATGTATAGCCACACATATACACACACACATACACAATAACAGCAGCACATTGGCTAGTAACTCACCAGGTCATGAGGGTAAAAGCGAACTGAGGTAGAACTAGAGAGGTGGGAGTCAGTGTCCCTGCAGGGCATTAGACGAAATGAGAACACGGATGAGAGAAAAGCATCTGGTGCACTTACAGTTGCAGCACCAAGCATCATGTAAGCAAGTCTCCAGATCCTCAAATGATCTTCTATCATATGCATTAGCTGACATGCTTTAGCTACAGTGATGTGTAGCTGACCCCATACTACGCTTAGCTGTCTAACAACTGGACTATATCAACAAAATTGATATGTATCACTAATTACAGTATCTGTTACCGGTCAAGAACAAGATAGACATTAAACAGGGACAGAGACAAAGACTAGAAGCTCATGAAAGCAGCCAGGGGGTGTATTTTATCATCGGAAATCCCACCAAACAAATCAAATGAATTATGGGTTTGACACTAACCATACATTATTGGAGGCTCGTCTGGCTGCAGGTTCAAAATTGACCAGGGATAAGTCACATCCACCGGCCTCATATAAGGAGGGAGTGAGCTTTCCTGGAAAAACATAACAAAGGAAAGAGAAGCACAATGAGTCCACAGAAATCACAAGCAAGACGTGACTTTGACTGTGGGAATAATTTCATCAAACTAGATGTTTACACGGGGAACTGGATGGCCTCTGCAATATTACTGTGTTCATCTGAGCTAATGCGATTAGTGAGTGAATGAGTCTCCTCCCAAAAAGGCAATAAGCAAGTCGCCGGTCATTTCCTGCTTTTCTTGAAACCAGTCAGGTTGTTCTCATTGTGTTTCTGTTGATTCAGGGGAGATTATTCTACTTGATCTTGGGATTTTGTACAAAAGTAGGATATAAATGTAGCAGTCATGCAGCTAAACTACTATAGTAAATAAAAAAACTTTAATAAAGGATAATTTTCTATAAATGTCCACAAGTACCACACACAGTATCGAGCAGCTTCCAATAACTGAAGTGACAATTTAACAACCTTTGTCTGTGGAACAGAACTCAGACACCTCTTTCAATGTTACCTTTAAATTTCCAAACTAATGTTTTAGAGATTAAAGGATTCCTAAAATACCGCCTTATTTATTACACTAATGGAGAAATAATAAATTGCCATGGTAACAGTGTTCCTGCTCAGGTTAATGTAACCTCGACTGCAATGCCAACTCTTTATATTGTTGATGTTTAACAGTGTGGCTGTTAAAAAAATGTTGGGAAAGTGAGAACAAGACAGCTAAACTGAACTGAGGTGGAGAGGCTTGTGTAGCTGGACACACAGATAAACCAAGAGAAAACATGCGTCCCAGTCAAGAAATCCACTCCTGATCAAATTATGAGTAGGACAGTAATACTTTTACCACTAGCACTGTATAACAGGGACATAACAACTCTTGTCAGCACTGAGGGGAGTGTTGTGACCGCAACAGACATAATCACAGACAGAAATAAATGGAGCATAGATAACTGTGCTCAGCTCTGACTGACTGTGACAGTTCACTGGCTATGACTGGCTGCAACACTCGTGTCTGTGACCAGCTCTCTTCAAGCAACTGCAAACAGCAAAACCACTGCGCAACTTTCTAACTAGCAACTTTCATTGTAAACCCACATCAATCACCAAATCAGGAGTCCTGTGAAAAGACATTTCAATCTGCAATATGGATCCACCTCAAGACAAACAGGCAGTATAGCGTGCTTCAGTATGAAATTCCTTTAGCTTAACATCTAAGCTCTCTTTATGTGGTCCCTACCGAAGTCATCCTGCAAGCTGGTAGCGCCAGTGGTTGAGGCCTTGTCCTGAGAACCCTCCAGGTGTGTGCTTCCATTCCTGGCCAGCAGGGAGGCGCTTGTGCTCAGCACAGTCACCTGGGATGGAGTTCTGGATGGCTGACTTTTCACCTGGGAAGCAGAAGGCTGGGAAGCCTGGCTGAGAGCCTCCTGAAGACTGTTTGAGGAGATATGAGAAGTGGGGGAGGCCAGAAGGGTATTACAGAAAACATCTTTACAGGGGAGAAGGATGAGACAGGTACTTTCACATGTGATGCATACTCAGGCTGCCATAGTAGAGGCCCCCCAACTCAGGCTAAACTGGCTGTGAGCTACCGCTGACTTTATTGTCTTTCACATTTTGGCTCATTTCTGGCAACAAATTTATAATATTACAACTTTTACACTTCATTTGAATCATGTCTTTTGTTTCTGATCATCACCATATTCCGTTTAGTGTTCACATTGACTACAGATTTTAATGACATCAGAAGAAGCCAGGGGAGACTAAAATTTACCTACAACACAAAATAACATCCTTTGTATCTTGTGTTTCCTTCTCACATTCCATATTAAGCCAATGCTTCTATGATGGCAGCAGACATGGATAAGATTTGTGACTTTTTAAAGCCTATACGTGAAATGCTTAAGAAGCCTTTCTGAGTAATTCCAAACAGGTATAAACCAGAAATAAAGAAGTGCAGATGTGACTTAACGTCCCCATACTTTAACTTTAACTTTTTCCATTTAGAATCTGCTCATAGGAAAATCTTCCTGAGGTGTAATGTTTCCTCAGTGTGTCAGAGAATTCAGAAGACTAATCAAAATAGTAAAACCCAGATCACATCCTCTTTAAAATGTATAAAGTTTATCTGAAGTAATGTAGTAAAGTAATGAAGGGACAAGCAGTGGAGGGATCAGTGGAACAAGGAATCATTTAGCGTGTCTGCTGACGCCTGAAGGCTGCACAGTCGTTTTTCTTGCTAAACATTTTTCAAGGCTCAGCAATTAAAAATGTGACCTCACAAGACAGATGCAGGAAAACATAGAGCCGAGGGTAGAGGTGAAATGCTGCTGGCAGCTCTACAAGGAAACTGCAGGAACTTTATCCACAGCACAAGACCAGTGGAACATAAACATTCAACTTTATTCTGAAAAAAAACTGGACTAGATTTCTAGGTCGAAGATGTTTCACCTCTCATCCAAGAGGCTTCATCAGTTCTGAACTGATCTAATTCAGTCTAATTCTAGTTCAGTTGATTTTTTCAGCTTACTATGACCTGGATGACTGAGCATCTGCACAGACAGATTCAAGTTTTTTTTTTTTTGGCCACTTTACACACAGTTATATGGTTGATTTTTATTTTAAGTTATACCTCTGATGTTTTTATGCTTTCTTTCCTAAATTCACAACACAGGACACACAAGCTGTTGCCATGAGGGAACCTGTGACCTTCCACTTATAGCATGGTCTCTAATCAGGCTACAACCACAGGAGTTACAGTTTATTTGAAGTATTCTGCAGGGTAGTAGTCAAGCATGTCAGGTCACTGCCACTTTGGACAGCAAGGGCTTAAGCTCTTCTCCTAAGAGGACTCTGACTTCAAGGTTAGATCCCACATCAAGTTGATAAAGGGAGTGATCAGGGTGCTGGAGACACACCCGACACTACTGTCATGTATGTTGCAACATGGATTTGATTGAGTTCAATTTAACTTAATTTAGTTCTGTAATGCTAGAATGACAGGGGGAAAAAGGTCATACACCGTTTAAAGAAATGAAACAAGTTTAATGAAAACTGCTACAAAATTTTAAAATGGTGAAAAACTAATTCTATTAACAAATAGCTAAGGACTCACAATTTAAAACAGTATATTCTGGTGGGGACAGGCAGCCATCTTAAACTTTTGATTTTTAAAATGATCAATATCACCGTCTATTAATGAATGTATCGAGTTCGGAGAGGAGGCGGTATGTCAGCCAAACAGATTAGTCAGAACTTGTGACCTTGTGCCTTGGATTTTCTAAGAACTCCATTCTTTGATCCATGCCCAAAAAGTGGAATTTAAAAGATTAGATGGTAAGATAACAGGATGAAAAGAGTGAAGTCTTGAGAAAAGGAGGACCAAAGACATCACAGAGGGGAGACGACCATCTAATGAGAGAGGGTGTCTTGCTTGACGTCATGCACATTGATGTGGGACAGGAAAGAATGCCAAGTAGGGCCAGGCAACATAACAATAGAAATGACTCCCTGCTCCATGCACGGCGTACCTGAGAGGAGATCCAATGAGAGAGGTGGGTGGGGTGGGGTTACTCCCTGCGTTGTGCCGCCGCCGCACTGCCTGCCGACGAAATGTGCTGCGCTCACGCCGAAATATTACTGTCTCCTCGCTCCCTGGGGCTGTCATGGTGAGAGACATCATTGGCCAGTCAGACTGGATGGCTTTTCTTTTTGTGAGCGCTTTATGTGGACGCCAGGAAGTGATACTACCACGTGTTATGCTGGCTGCCAGTCACATTTCAAAAAACAAAGCAACAACAGCTTCAACATCTGCTGCTGGAACTTCACACTACTAAGGTTTCACTCCAACCATTTAAATTTAAGACCTCCACTACAACATGACTGACAGAACAACAGTGACACGTAGTGAAGTGTTGGCCTAGTGGCTGAGACAAGCGTCATGACATCCCCCATTCTTGAATATAATGTCCCTCTCTCTCATTCCTCTTTGCCTGTCTGCATCTCAGCTGTTACAATCGAACGAAGGCAAAATTAAAATATTAAAACAATACTGAAACATGACAGCATTCATCACATTTTCCAAAATATTGTGGGTCTATTCTAACCTTGCTGAACAGCACCCACTGCAGCCAAAATGGATCTTTCCCAAGATTCTTGTCATTTACTTTAAAGCAGATTATGTAACTTTTGAAATAAGAAATAAACATTCTTCCTAGTAAAAGAGTTGTATTCAGAAACAAACACAGCAAAGCTCAATTCACTGCACACAGGGGTTTTGCTACAGCTTTACTTGGTCTGGTATGATCAGTGGCTCATGATGACCAACATTAGCCAATGTTAGGAAACCAACCCCTGAGGGAGAGCTAGCTAGAGCAATATGATGATAAGCAGGAGAAAACAAATACAGAGTGTTTACTTTAGTCTTGTGATTAAATCCACTGATAGGTTTGTCTGTGGTGGCTAAAATGCAGTGTGTGAGAAACACAAACAGAAAAGGCTAATAAAAGACAACAAAATGACTCAGCAGCCTCTAGCTAAAGTTTGCTAACTCTAGCTAAATTTAGCTAGCATTAGCCACTGGCTGTACATCAGCAAGTGAGACTGAAGTGTCTGAAGTCAGCAAAAAGCAAACACTGTACACGAATAATTTTCTGTTCCATCCGTGGACGTTTGAACATAGTTGAAGTGTCCATTACTTTATGCAGTATGTAGTGTATATATCTATGATGGATAACGAGGGTGATGCTCCAAACATGGCGCATTTTACCAAAATTCAATATGGCGTGACGTCAACTTCACATTCTCAGAATCAAAATCAAATTTATTGGCCAGGTGTGACAGACACACGAGGAATTTGACTCTGGTTCATCGGCTCTCAATGTGCAAACAGTAAACCAGCATAAGACTGAGTAATATAACAAAATTAACAGTGTTAACAGCAACAAACTGGGCAAACAATGCAGAATAAGCAGTATAAACAGACAGTAAACAATGCAATGTTCGTTGAAACGAGATAAATAGGGATAAAAACAGAGTACTTAAAACTAGAGACCTGTGTGAGGTCTCTAGTTTCCTCTACAAATGAACTCCTCAATACAACAGTCCCTGAACTGGCTTAAGGGTGAGCATACAGACATTTTCCAACAACTGCCCAACAAATTTCCACCCATAACCACCACTGACAACTTTAAGTCAAAGAAACTTTTCACCAAACAACTAATGCTACGTTAGAGTTTAATGCCGGTCATTTGGCACTGTCAGCTGGCCAGACTCAGGACAACACAGTATGTTAAAAAGTCATGACATCAGGAAGCAAAGCAGAAAATATGACTAATTATGAGAGGCCTGTGGCCAACAGTTGACATGGAGGTGTCCAGATGCATCCTGCCTCTAACACTCTGGAAACAATCAGAGCCAACAACAAAATGTCCACAACACATCGAAGCCAAAGAACAAGAACCCAAGAACAACCCTGTAAGATATTAGCCTGCCAGTCTAAAAAATGTGGGAGAGGAAAACCCTATTAGACTCAGTGTGTATGACACTAATAAGAGTACAAAGCACACACTGTGCCATCATGCTAAAAGGGACATACACAGGGAGCACTGTGGGTCAGGATTGTCACTCCATGGAAACTCACCATGGTTACACTTAATGAAAAAAGGTAAACGACATCTCTTATGCAGCCACATCCATACACAAGGGCAATAAAGATGCAATCCTAAAATCTAGAGGAGTACACCCAAAACAGCCTCCATTATTATGCTCCTGCTAATGGACTAGAAAGCTTCTATTCAGTAATGGACATAAAGTATGGTTTCCAACACAATTATGCTCAATACACATCCAAAAAAAAAAAATCATTCAGTTACTACTTAAACAATCCTCTCACCATAAAAACAGTCCACAGTTCAGCTGATCATTTAGAAAACAGACTACATTACAGACCACCTTTACATGTGGATAAGGTGATCACAGCATTTCTTGTGATTCAATTCAGAGTCACTTCATCGACAACATAAAATGTAGACTAGTCATCAAACACTAGTAGTAAACCAGATTGAAGGCAATGTGCACAATATGTGTGGTACATACCCCGCAGGGAAGCAGCAGTTGCGTCCTGAAGCTCAGTGAAAGCTGCCTGGTTAGGTAGACTGTTTCTGGAGCGGGTCACTGACTCCAACTGGGAGGCCCGCCCCAGCAGGGATGCAGCATCAAGGACTTCCCCTTCTTTGGCTTCCAGGTCCGATTTGGAGGTTGTAAGGGGATGCAGCCCAGCTGGAGCTCCTAGGTGGCTGGTGTCATTAAGGCAGGCAGCTGTACCACTGTCCAAACTTAACACTCTGGCATGCGTTTTGGCACTGCCTGTGCTGGGGATCCGGCGGGAGGTGCGCCGCTTTCCTCCAGTTTGCACTCCTGCCTCAGACCCTGCCGCAGCCTTTAGGGTGGAGGAGGAGGAGGCTGCACTGGCTGCAGTGTGCTTGGCTTTCAGGGCCCTTAAGTGGCCCTCTGGTGAGTGGCAGGAGTGGGAGGTGGTACTAGATGAGCTATCCATGCTTAGGTGGTGGGTGGAGTGGAGACTAGAGGCACAGCTGAGTTCACTCTGATCACTGGAGTCCTCCTCTCTACCCCCAGTAAACACAGCACTACAAGGCTTGGCCATACCCCGCAAACATATGTAGTCCCGGTGACGGCTGGCATCAAAGCTGCTTGCCCTTTTCTTGCCAGTCTGCCGGCATCCACTGCGCCCCGCTGACATGGACGAAGTCCTCTGAACAATGTTGCCTGATTTTGATTGAATGTCATCTTGCACCTGCCCCTGCTCTGT